GAGGTTAATGTTCATCTCTACCCGCAAGGCTGACTGGCAGATGGACAGCTTCAAAAGACGTGATCAAATTTTTGGACTGAAGACGCCTGCGCCGCTGCTCTGAACAGAACATCTGTGTGCCCTTCACTCCTGGGGCAGACATGCAGGCACAAAGGGGCAAGATGGGGCTATATTTTAATATCGTGCTAATTTGTTTAAGAATTGACGTAGCGTAGAATCCTAGAATCACGGAGTTGGAAGGGGGCCTCTAAGGCCATTGAGTCCAACCCCCTGCTCAAGGCAGGAATCCAAATCGAAGCAGATCTGGCAGATGGTGGTCCGATTTTCTCTTGAAGCCCCCCAGCGTTGGAGCACTTACTGCTTCCGAAGGTCATGTGTTCCATTGTCGTACTGCTCTAACAGTTGAGAAGGTTTTTTCCCCTGATATCCAGCCTAAATCTGTCTTCCTTCAACTTGAGCCTGTTATGACGTGTCCTGCACTCTGAGACGGTCATACCCTTCAAAACAGCATTCCCAAGTCATTTTTGCAGAAGAAAATTAAAACAATATTAGGCGAGCCTGTTATGACGTGTCCTGCACTCTGGGTCATACCCTTCAAAAGCAGCATTCCCAAGTCATTTTTGCAGATGAAAATTAAAACAATATTAGGACAACGATGGACATCCATCTTTCTTTCCGTGCCTCTGAGACGGTTTTGGTCTTCTCTGTTGCTGCCAATTTGCCTTAAAATCTTAAATGGAGGGAAAAAGCTGTCCTCATACAGGCACCCCTTCGGTTGAGGTATGATCCAGGGAGGGGCCACAGCCAAATAGTTAACAGTTAAGACATTAAAGCAGATTTCCCAAAGCTTGATGTCTTCTAAATGTGCCAGACTGTATGGCTAATTGGGGACGACGAAGGTTGTACTCCTGCACATCTGGAGATTGCCAGGTTGAGAAAGGCTGTTCAGGTTTTCTTGGGTCCCCACGACCACCAAGTATAATCAATTCTGACTTATGCAACCTTTTCGAAAGATTGTTCAGGTTTTCTTGGGTCCCCACGACCATCAAGTATAATTAATTCTGACTTATGGCAACCTTTTCCAGAGATTTTCTGGGTAGAGAATATTCAGAAGTTATTTCCCTGTTCCCTTTTTCTGGGGTTCTTTCCGGGTAGAGAATATTCAGAAGTGATTTCTCTGTTCCCTTCTTCTGCGGTTCTTCTCCAGCAGGCCCAGTGGGGGAATTGAACTCCCAACTTCTGGCTCCATAGCCAGGGACCGAAACCACTGAGCAATCCAGCCAGCGTCCCACCAGTGAACGTCATACCCTACACACTCACACTGACAAACTGTCCTATATATTTTCAGTGACCGGTATTTAAAAACCCGGAAAACGTCAGCACAGGTATGAACATTCATTCTGTTTATATCTGAAAGCTCAGAAAAACCCAGCCAAATGTCAGCCACCCCTAGTACAATTCTCACTACAAGTGCTGAACTAGCACAGAATAACTAGGAAAATACCATTATCCTCACTACCAGCTTTGCTCTTACGTTGTATACATTTGAGATCCATAGAGAGGAACCCCACAAATTCAGGAACACCCCTTTACGTTTCAGAGGCTGCGACCCATCTGTTCTGATTTCTATCAGGGCTTTCTGGACTTACACACTTCCACTTTCGTGTCAAGATGCCTTGCAAAAAAGGCGAATAATTCTGCTTGACTTCACTTAACATTAACCGTCTTCCTCGCCACACTCAGATCAAGAAAGAGAATCTCTGTGTGTGGCTATCAGAATCAAACGGATGGAGCACCTCCAGGTTGAACCACCAAGACAGAATTATACACATTATGCTCATGCATGTATCTTTCGAAAGAGAGCGAGGGACTTTCTCCGTTTCGCCCTGCATGTGCTCAGCAAACGGCAATGTTTTAAGTTTTTAGCTTTCTGAACCAATGGGTCTGTACAAAAAGATGGGGAGCAAACTGAAAGCTGATAGAGAGGGTTGCCTCCGGAGAACGCGCACGAGTGAAGTTAAATGCCACTATAGTCCCTTTTAAGATTCGAGATGGATCTGGACACGGTTCCGATGGGTTTGTCTTTGACTGCACCACCGTTCCGACCTCAACCCTCAAGGCCCAATGTGAAATTCAACCACGCCGATTTCTGTGAAATCTACCATCAATATGGTGCATTTAGACCTTGCGGTTGTATAAGTGGACCAGATGTTTAAGCGGCACTCCTATCCACAGACTTAACCCAGGAATGAACCTCACTAAGCATGTCTGGGTAACCATGAGCCAGAGTGCGCCGTTCTTGGCACATGGGCATACATGGCATACATCAATCTGGCTTTTTGTCCAGTTGAGCTATTTATTGATTTAGCAATGCACCGTTGCTGTTAGTGATGCTGAAGTCAGTGTCTCTGTGGCGTAATGGATAGAGTGACATCCTAGGACTCAGGAGAATTAGATTTAAAAAATCCCTACTTGGCCATGGACGCTCAAGGGGCCAGGTAGCAAACCTTTCCCTAAATATCTTCAATAAACAGTGACCCATAACTCTGATGGGACTTGATGATACTTGATAAACAAAACATGAGCAATGCTAACTGTATGGTGAGGCAGGACATCACTGGATATGAGTTATTGAGGAGGTCAATGATGGAACAGGTCTTGTTGCCTTTGTGACCTGTTTTATGGGCTTTCCAGAGGCATCCAGAAGCCACTGCAGGCTGAAGTGGCTTTTTGGGGGGTCTATACCAGGGGGAGGTGGCTCATGGTCAACTCCTGGGGAGCCCTCACTCCAAAAGAGAGGCCAGGATGTCCTCCCTCTCTGGGAGAACAAGCTTCTGGCAGAGCTGCTCTGAGCCTCCTAAACTACCCGGGGGGGGGGATATTTTCCTTTAAAAAGGCAGGATGCAAACAGATGAAACAAGATTCCAAAGAAGGAAAGAAAACAGCACATGTTTTCATGCTCCTTTAAATCCCAGCTCCGAAAGCCATTTCTACAGTCTCCTGCTGTTGTCCCATAAATGCTCAGGCTAGGGCTTTGGAGAACCTCCCTCGCGCATGCCATGTTTCCTTTGGGAACCAGGAGAGCCGTTCCACACCTGTTGCGACTCCAGGCACACGCTTTCCATGCATATGCACAGAGATTAGATTTCTGCCACCCCAGGGAACAGATAAGACTCTGCTGGAGTTTACTGCACAATAAATGGCAAAATCCACCCTCTTAAGCAAGAGTGTATAAACAACTTGAATAGATCTTTTTTTTTCTTTCTCCCTTCCTCTATTTTGATCTTAATTGGAACAGCACAATATTGGATCCAGCTGTCTGGCAGCTGCCGAGCAAAAGAAATGAGCATCCCTAAACCTTGGGGTGTATTCCAAAGGACGCTTAACTCTTCCAGGAATTCAGCGAGCACCCACCTCCTCCTTTCACAAGAGCACCCGATATGCCTCTCTTTCAAATTTATTTTAGAAAAATTCAATCTGCCAGCAATGGGGAAAAGCATTACATCAAAACCTTTCTATATTCCAGCCCGGCCCAGAAAAACTGCACCTTGATCTGCAGCCCAGCAAATCCAGAAACCGATCAGGCACTGGGTTTATTTAATTGGATTAGAAGGCAAGTAAGATGCAGGGTGAGAAAGTCAAGGAGAAAACTAAGAGCTGAGTGGGCTGGCTTCTTGAAAATGCCCACAGCCATCCCTTGCTCCCTGACTCCGGATCAGTCCAAAAAGGTCTGGTTTTTAGCTGGTTTGCGGATGGCATGCTCTATCGTCCTTCCTCTCAGCCCAGGGGGGCATCCAGGTCCTTGAGAAGGACTGGGGGGCGGTCTCCTTGTTTGCAAAAGCCCTCAAGGAGGGCTAGCGCCTTAAAACGTGGGGCTAGCGCGTTTGGACTGGGCTGTGAAAACATCTCTTATCGGTGTCTCTCTCTCTGACACACAGTAGCTGGTTTGCGGATGGCATGCTCTATCGTCCTTCCTCTCAGCCCAGGGGGGCATCCAGGTCCTTGAGAAGGACTGGGGGGCGGTCTCCTTGTTTGCAAAAGCCCTCAAGGAGGGCTAGCGCCTTAAAACGTGGGGCTAGCGCGTTTGGACTGGGCTGTGAAAACATCTCTTATCGGTGTCTCTCTCTCTGACACACAGACACACACAGGGCTAGCGCGTTTGGACTGGGCTGTGAAAGCATCTCTCATCGCTGTCTCTCTCTGACACACACACACACACACACCCCTCCTCTGGTCCTCTGAACCTGTCCACCTCCAGCACCTCCGGCTTGACGGCTTTGGGGATCGCATTCTTCACAAGCCTGGCGCCAGTGGGGGTTGCGATGGACCAGCGGTGTTGTGTCGGGAGCAGACGTGAGAGTCATACCAACACGCCGCACTGGGCCACCCTCCCATCCCATCTTTTACACACACACACATACACACAAACCATCCAAGAAGCCACCCCGAGACCCTCGTTTCCTCGATCGCGGAAAGCACCCGGGAAGACAGGCAAGCGCCGCTCTCTCCCCCCCCCCCCGCCC